AAAATAAATGGGCATGATTATTTTTTTGTTTATTTATCTTTTTTTCGTAAACAGTTTTATATCATTTCTAGCTTCTACAATGACAAAGTAATAATGGAATAATCTTTTAATATGCTAGAATGAGATTTTTTTAAAGAGCTCTGCCCAATTATTTAAGTAATTGAAATGAAAAAAAAATGGTACTAATGCTGAAACAAACAGTTTGAAGACTTCGATAAAAATGAAGTTGATTCAACTTTCTTCCTAATCCTTTCATAAGGTTTCTAATGAATCAAAAGCATCTAATTAACGATTTAAACCAATACAGTTTTTATTTGCAGACTTCATTTGAGTCAAGTGATTTAATTAAGCTGCAAAAAGTTCTCAAACGATTTCTCACTGTCTTTAAATTCTAATTAAAGAGAAAAAAGATATTGTTCTTAAGCTCCGTTTTAATTGCTCTATTCCATTTTTCATTAATTTATCTAGAAGGATTGAAGGTATCATGTGGGAGAAAGGAGAAAAAATCAATTTTCTGCTTATTATCTAAAAAAAAATATTCCTCGAAATGTTTGCGAAGTTTCAGAAACTGTAAAATAATGAATATAAAGAATGGGAAATGTTTTAGTAAACAGTTTTCACACAGAGAGAGAGAGAGAGAGACATATATATATAAGTGCTTTCATAAGGAATTAAATTTCGAGCGAATTCCTAGCAGTATTAAATTTCGTAACCTGAAGGACGAGCACACTTGTTCTTTTTTTTATATACTTGAATGTGAAATGGGTACAAAATATTTTCCTTTCTCCCTAATGACTTATATGGTAATATGTAATGATTCAAATGAGTTTGCGAAAAAAAATGTTTCCTTTTTTTTACGGTAAGATCATCGTTTTAGAAATCTTAAGGAATGTATATTTTAAATAATCCTAGTAAAAACTACGTTAATTGAAAAATATTTACAATTTATCTTTGAATTATATATATATAATTAAAATAAATACGTTTATAAATCTAAAGTACTTATTTTGAGTAAAAAAATTTGGAGTGAAAACCTTATCTAACAATTGTTTATATGTGTGTGTTTTACTTTTTTAACACAACTTTTAAATATTAAATTAATAACATATATTAAAATGCTTAACTCTTTTTAAATTTATTTTCATGTGAAAAGAATTTTGTAATTTATTTAATGAAAAGTTTGAATAAAAGAACACCCAGCTGCATTTATTCGGTACCATTATGCAATCATAATATAATTATTAAAAATATTAATGTGAAGCCTAGTGGCTGTGTGGCAGAGCCTTGCGCTTCCACACCACAGGTCCGAGGTTCCAACCCCGGACTCGGTAAGGTCGACTCAGCCTTTCATCCTTTCGGTGGGTCGATAAATGAGTACCAAGCTTGCTTGGGAACTTAACACTGGGGGTTTCACGTCAGACTGACCACCTGATCGGAACATCTGATCATGCACCTTACAGCCCAAGGTCACGCATATTGATATGGACACAGTAGGCCTTGGCCCTCATGGGCTGTTGCGCGACTGAGAGTTAAGTTACTATTAATGTATATTAAATTTTGTTGTAATTTAATTCATTAATACTTGAAAGAAGCCCAAATGACTGTTTTAAGAGTAGTTAAGCTATACTTAATGGGTAGCAATATATTAATATTGATTGTATATATATATATATATATATATATATAAATCAATGTATATATATATATATATATATAAATAATATATATATATATATATATATATATATATATTTCTACATTTGTGACAACCAACCAAGTTATAGCCTACTAAATTTGAATGTAATCAATCTAGGCGTCTTCCTTACAAGCTGGTATAAAGGATGCGTTTAAGTGCAATTTAGATTTTTATCACAACATATATAAGCTTTCCATCGGTTTCAAGAGTGTTGGATCTCCTGGAATAAGCTCTGTGAGCAGAAGTTTTAAAATCTTTTTGGAAGAATCCTTTTACTGGGTAATTCTTTTGATATTTTTCTGCTTAAACATTTTGGGAGAATTTTTCCTTAATAGTAGTCGGTTGTTCTTTCATATTTCTATGAGATTTTTTATACTTTGGATTTTTTATATTTTGGATTTTGTATACTTTAAATTTCTATTTATTTTTTTTTGATCTTTCCTACTGAGTTGCAAAGGGGGAAGGTTGGCGCCTTCAATCTAGTTTTACCCCACTTATTCGGTCCTTAGTCCGATATTGGATTTTGTCTCGCTAGGTTCTTATTTGTATTTCTTTAGATTTGATCTTAATTTTTTTTCCCCCTGTTATGTTCTATTTTTTATATAAATTTTTTCCATATATATATATATATATATAGATAAAATTATTTCAAATGTAACTTAATTTTTTGTTTGTAATTGTTAAAAATTATTATTAAAATAAAAGGCTAGTTTAAAGCTCCCTTTCGAGAAAATCTTGCTAAATTTTTTCCTGCTAAAATGTTTAGCTAAGTTGCTTTCTTTCATCATCTTTTTTAGGATTATTTACAATTGGATATGTTAATATAAAAATTTTAATTTTTTCTTCTTAAAATCAAAATTTTATTAATCTTTATCTCTATTTCAGCACTGATTTTAGATAAATACTCAGTAATTTTTTTATGTAAATATTAGGTAACGAGTTAAACCTTATTTTTGTAGCTGAATATTTGCTTTACTTTTCACTAATATCTGATTTCTAGAATTTAGGCTCAAAAGGTAAAATATTTTAAATTTTTTTTTTTTGTGTTCCTCGAGACATTGAATAAAATATCACATATATGACAGCTTTTTTTGTAATTAAATTTAAGCTTCGACAAGTGAAACATTAGAACTAACATTCTTTGTAAACAGATTTGAAAAGAGCAGGTAATTTTAACAAGTAATATAAAAAAAAATTAAGTCAATTCCTACTTAGGTCCAGATAGAGAAAATTTTTATTTCAGTTACTTTTTATTAAAGAGTTAGAATTAATATAAATATGTATAAACATATGTGTGTGTATATGTTTATATATAAATGTATATAAACATATATTAAGTGACAAAATAGAGAAAGCGATTTTCTTTCCTTTCTCTATATGGCTTTGAACTATTTTTATCGTTTCTGACTATTTATGCATTAATTAAATTTAATTATACTAATAAAATAGTATAGTAAAGAAACAAAGGACATTCGCAGAAATTAGGTCAACCCAGGTGGGATTCGAACCCACGACCATTGAATTAGAAGCCCAACACGCTATGAGTCGCGCTACCAGACTCAACAAACATGTTTCTTTTCTTAGTCTGGAGTGTGCCATCCATTACAAGTTTAAAAAATGTATTTGTGAACTTGAACGAATGAAAAGAAAGCATTTTATTAACAACTGAAAATTTGAACAAGATATATATATATATATAGAGAGAGAGGGAGAGAGTGAACTAATAGTAGGAATTGAAAAAAAAAGATCTAATAGATTTTGTAAGAATTTGTTTCGTTCAAAATTTATTTTTTTAAAAAACATCTATAAAACTTACCATTTCTTTTGAATGTGATTTGAAACATAGTCTATATCTTACAATTAAATTAATTCTGTAAAAATATCAAATTTCCTAATTGGAAAAAGTTTATTAAAATTTAATTAATTGCTTCAATGAAGCTCTTTTTAATTCATTCACTAAAATATAATTTTGTTTTCCTTTTAAGCAATTCCAAGTGATATAAATATCATAAAACAAATGTGGAAAAGTTATAAAGTTGCAAAGGTTAATATATAAGGTCATATATTTCTCTTTTTAATGATAGTTCATAAATTTTTTTTTTATTTAAGTTTTAGAAGTAAAGCTTGCATTGAGAGATGTAAACCTCTAATAATAAAGTTAAAAAATCATTGTAGAAACTTTTAATACATAAAATGTTTTAACAGGTATATCAATAGGTTGAAAATGATATGGAAAAACTATCGCATGAAACGAAATAATAATTTAAAAATAATCTTACAACTTTCATGTAATCTCTCTGAATTAACAAATTTGAAACATCTGCATATATTGAATCAAGCTCTTACAGGGTAAAAAATTTTAAAAAATCTAGCCAATCTTTCTGCATTGCTAGAAAAAATATTCGGTTTGGATGGTATTATTTGAACTATAAGTGGATCTTTTCAATTCAATTTTAATTGAAACAGACTAAGTCTTACTATTTGTAATACAAATTTCATGCAATAAAACTATGCATACTGTGAAGAAAATTAGTCACTTACGCAACGATAGTTACTAACTACTAAATAAATATTTGAGCGAAACCAGCTGCTATTTGCAACTAAAAAATAACGAGCATGGCCCCACTTAAATAAAAACCCTAAAAAAAATAACACGTTGAAACTCTCATTTTAAAATTTGGAATTCATGTTTCAACACACACACACCACACAAACAACCTTCAAATTTGTTTATGAGCATTTTAATGAAATAGTTCAAAAATATTCTTTTAATAAATCAGATTAGATAGAATAATTGTACTTACGGACTTTTAATTTAAGTTCCAATTAATATTCTGAAAAGCACGAATTAGTTTAAAAAAACAACAGCTAAAAACGAAGATTTGATTAAAATAGATTTAAAGGTTATTTTTTCTTTCTAAAGCACAAAATGAATCTATTTATTTGTGTCTTTTTCTGAGCAGTGTTATTTTTATAACTTTATTTTATTTTAGATAACTGAAAAAACATAACCGAAAACCTTTTTTTTTTAGTCATTATTTGGTTCTAAAGATACAAATCGTGAACTGAGCGCTTTAAAAAAAATATTTTCGAGATATTTAAATAACATATTGGGGAGAAAAAACACTATTTTTTTTTTTACATTTCATGATGCGTCATTCATTAATAGCCAATTAAAATGCGGTTCTATATTTTTACATCTAGAGATAATCATGACTTATTTTTTATTACTAGATAAATTATTTCTTTCTTTAGTAGGGAATTGAAGCTTTAAAATGTATTGTTCCCAAAAGGACATGAAAAAAAAAAACTCAACGCATTTAAATCTAGTCTCAGAAAATTTAGAAGAATCCTTACTATTTTAAAATGGAAATTAATTAGAGTATATTTTAACTTTATTTCCAAAAAATCAGATTATTTTTTAATTTGGAAAATTTATAAGATTGCACTTTTGTGATTTTGGTATCATAAATCTCTAATATCTTTCGAATACGACTTTTATTAAATGGAAAATTATGATTTAAATTTTTTTACTAAAAGAAAAATGAAATTTAAACTTTCATAATTCTGATGACGCTGAAAATTGATGTTAATATGTATTAATAAAATGTAGAGATAGATTCTTACCTAGTTCCTTTTCTAAGGCTATTTGCACATTTACTTTTTATTGTTGTTTAATAGTGATTATTTAATAATGCTAATCCGTATTAATAAAAACAGGTAAAACTAAAAATGAATATTGAAATTATATCATGCGATACTTGTGACGGTTTAATAATCAATATCTAATTTGCTGCAATTTTTCTAAGAAATGCTGATGAAATTTTTAAGATTCGAAATATATTATTGGCTAAGTCCTATTTTAGATCACATCTTTGGCAAAGAAGAACCGATCGCGCAAATTGCGAAAGCATATCATTTTTCTATATTAGACTTCTATCCAATGGGAATATAATAACACGCCAGGTTGGCGTTAAATAAAGGTGTTGTCCAAAATAGGATCCAAATTATATCCCCTTAAATACACTATAAATTCAAAAAATATTTTTAAGTAATCTATTTACGATTTAATTCAATTTCAGGTTTCATAGAATTTAAATGGCAATTGGAAAAATTCCAGAGACTTATTTTTGCAATTAAAACAGGATAAGAACAAACCTAAAAATTAAAAGTGGTTTTTATCTAGCCATAATATGACAAAGATAAATCAGAAACAAAATCAGTTAAATATTACGTCTTTTAAAACATAATTTAGGAGTCAAGCATATTTCTGAATTAATTTAAAAAGGAAAGCTTTTCCCGAGCTTCTAACTCAAAATTAAGCTGGGTTCATAATTCATAAATGTACATCGAATTTATTATATTGATTCAAATATAATAAATGTTACGAATCAATGAAATTCAAATAAATTTAAACATATTCAAACTTCAATAAACATAATATTTATTGTGTGACAACAATATAAAACTCTGAAATTCTCTTAGAGAGAAAAATATTGATTATATTATTTTTTATATACTTATTTATAATAATTACAATTATTACAATAACAATGAGTTGCACATATTATACATACTATAAAAAACGTTTAAATTATTTTAATATTATTTTCAAACAATGAGAAACGTGAAACACATGCTGAAAAAAAATTTGATTTTTCCTTTAATATAAATATTCACTCAGAAGTATTTGTTCTGGAACTAATTCTTTCAAAAATTTTAATGATTGACTAACCATACTGTTTATTATTATTATTATTATGTTATTAAAATATATAAGATTCTAGGTTTATATAAAGATTTTCACAAAAACGAGAAGCTAGCAAACGCGATGCAAATATTATGTCAATATTTTAATTTCGTAAGTTTTGTAATTTAAGCTTTTCCCCCCTGTTTTTGAAACACACTTTCTTATTATTTTATTAGTTCATAATTCTTAAGATCCCAATAAAATTGTAATTTATAACAAATTGTTTCATTAGATATTTCGGTACTTACGTATTAGCGTCTACAACAAAGTTTGCTCCATACGCGTTTCACGCCATGATACCAAAAACAACGAAAAGTTTTTTACGTATTTGATTTGGCCGCGGTGACGTTAACACGTAAATACCAACGTTGCTTTCAAAATGAGATTTTTTAACAGTATTACATCTTCAGTAAATGAAAATTTTTATTACTGCAGTTTTTTCTTATATGCTTTGTAGAAATAATATTGGTGTCTTCGCGAAAATAATTTATTTTAACATAACTTAATTTACTTTCTGGTCATTTTAAGGCATTTAAGTTATTCTGTATTAATGTTTAAAAAAGTATTTGAAATCTGCATATAATATCGTAATATGCTTCACACATCAATTGCTCGTAGCAATCATCATATCGCATGCTTGATTTCGGGATATTTATATTTTTGTAAATCAGTTGTAAAAAATATGTACTAAATATTAAAAGAGTGTGACACAAGTATTTTTACATATAATATTATTTATTAGTCTATAATATTATAATAAAAGAAGCAGTGTATGCAAAATCTTTAAAATGGGATATTTTATTTGGGAAGTATAGAGGAAATTAACATATATAACTGTCTATTCGGATACTTTAAATACGTGCAGCTGATATTATTTTTTTAAAGAAATTGCTAATACAGTAGAGTTACCAAAATTCGACACTCGGTAAACCAATAAATAGTCCGTATTACTCGGCTACCCCCTTGCAGGTCGAAAAAAAAACCCCTCATTTCTTTCAGAAAAAGTAGTCAATTTTTGCAAAAAGTCGGCTACTTAATTTTCATTATAGATCGCTTTATGCCTTCATAAAATATTTTTCTTAGGTGTACCTGATAACAAAAATTACTGTAACTACTATGTATTCATTAATGCCAACTGGGGGGGGGCGCAGTTGGTTAGTCGCTGACCTTGTTTGTACGCCTAAGGTTGCAGGTTCGACCCCGGCTCTAATCAGTGGATTTTCATGATGCAGAAAATCGGCAACGTCCATGTCGTGTAATTATGCGGCATGTAAAAGATCCTTTGAGCACTTATTTGGCTTGAATGATCTTGGCAAAATTTAATTCCTAAGTACGGTTTCGCATCCCTCTGGAGGAAACTGGGTGTCAAAATCCCTTGAGGCGCGATTGGTAATTGACCTATATATGGGGCCGCACTAAAAAGAGATACCAGCTCCCGGAGAGTGTACTAGGTCTGTAATGGTAAAAAACCAGTCCACAGCCCCATTAGAAATAAAAAAAATGTATTCTCATTAATTTTTATTTTTATGTAGTAAATTCTCTACATCTTCGTGAAGTACGAACTTTTCCATTGTTTTCCTTTGTCATTGCATTCTATTATAGTATGACAAAACTATTTTCTTCTACTTCAGTCATTCTAGTTTAATACCTTCTCAGTATATTGAATTCGGGAACACGTAATAATAATTAAAAATCTTAATCATGTAAAACTAAAAAAAAAATTTTAAATTTATTTAAAAGTATTTTTATCTTATTTTATTTATTTATTTTGAATTAGCAAATTATTACTTTGATTTGTATTCATAACAGA